GAAGCACACCCTAATTAAGTCCACTGATGTTGTACTATGTACAGAAATGTTACATAATTGACTTAATGAGCTTGGTTGCCTGATTTTTTTCCTTGTCCACTTTCCACTCTTCCTAATATACTGTAAATCAGCAACTTGGAAACAAAATAAGTTAAGGGGTGCTAGAAACAAATACTCAGTTGTATGAAAAGATATCAAAAACACAATTACAGAAAAATACAGGTATGCAGCCATTTATGGTGGTGGGGGGGAATAGTTTATGATGACAGTCCTAAATTACCAGGGAAAAATTAAAGTGTTTTAATATATGCTAAGCACAAGTGTATAATCTATCTAATACTTTCATCAAATGAAAGTAAAACAAACATTAGTTCTTAATAAGTAAAGCTTCAGTGATCTAAAAGATTTACCTCCAGGATGTGTTCTTCTTTGGGAATGCTATAAAATGAGTGGACCTGTAATAAAATCAAAGTTCCTAATCTTCACTGGAACAAAGGGCAATACAGGCTTATAGGGAAGAAATATGAATTTCAACTTCCCACCAATCGTATACATCATAAAGCATCCTGGAATCTAAAACACACATACCACTTCACAATAACGTGCTGCTTGTTAACTTTGGTGCACTGATTAGAAGTTATCTGAAACTTAGGAATCTAGTCACATTCAATATAAATATCCTAGAGTTTGGAAATCTGGATTATTTTGGCCAAGTGCAGTGACTCACGCCTGTAATCCCAGCTACTCAGGAGGCTGAGGCGGGTTGTGGGATCACTTGAGGCCAGGAGTTTGAGACCACTGTGGCCAACATGGCAAAACCCCATCTCTACAAGAAGTAAAAAAATTAGCCAGGCGTGGTGGCGCATGCCTGTAATTCCAGTTACTCAGGAGGCTGAGGAATGAGAATCGCTTGAACCTAGGAGACAGAAGTTGCAGTGAGCTGAGATCACACCACTGACTCCAGCCTGGGTGACAGAGAAAGTCTAAAAGAAAAACAAAAGAAACCAACCTGGTTTATTTTGACAATGCCCCCAAAATCATACCAGAGCAGACATTTAGTGTCCACAACCTAAATTATATGATGAGATTATAATTAGGATAATTTGGGACATGATTAATGTTTGAAAAAAGAGAACAGTACTTTTCTCTTTTCACAGTGTACCACACAGAAACATTTTTTAATTGTTTAAAATGTCTGCCTCACACCTGTAATCCCAGCACTTTGGGAGGCCGAGGCAGGTGGGTCACATGAGGTCAAGAGATGGAGACCATCCTGGCCAAGATGGTGAAACCTCATCTCTACTAAAAACACAAAAACTAGCCGGACATGATGGTGAGTGCCTGTAATCCCTGTACTTGGGAGGCTGGGGTGGGAGAATTACTTGAACCATGGAGGTAGAGGTTGCAGCAGTGAGCTGAGTTCATGCCACTGCACTCCAGCCTGGGTGACAGAGCAACACTCCGAAAAAAAAAAAAAAAAGTCTGCAAAAAGTAAAGCGCTATAATAATGAATAGTAGTAAATACATAAGTTCTGAAAATTTAAGAACAAGTAAGACCTTGCCTTTAGAACAGTAGTAGTCTTAAATGTCAACAAAACCTTCTATAACTGTTTTTGTAAAAGATTATGTAACAATTCTACTTCCCAGATTACCAATCCTTTTACTATAGCTCAAAATCACAGGGCTGCATTGTAGTTATCTGTTACTATGGTTTCCATTTTATTTTGGAACTGAAACTTCTGCAAGTATCACATTACACCAATGGCGTACTTGCTTTACATCACATTATTAAAATGGTTAATGCTCTTCAGAACTAAAGTGTGCAGTATATTTTCATTTCAAAAACACCCACAAACTAAAATAGATATTTAAAATCTTTATTGTTTCATCATCAAAAGTTTTCTTTCCATAGAAGAATGGGTAATGCTGTATCAGTGCATATTCTATGGAAAATTCATACCTCAAGTAACTAGCCTAGAAATCAGAGACAGCACTATGTCAAGCTAGTGTACAAGGTCAAAGACACAATGCTGCCAATGCAATTAGTATATAGAAAGAAAATGCAGCTGTTAGAAAAAGAGTCTATGGCCAAGTGGATAAAACAGCAGCAGTGCACTGCACTGACATCTAGAACAGAAAATGGAGAAGGACCAGAGAATGCACTTCCTGCAAAAAAAGTCCAGATCACAGGCACAAAGAGTTCCCAACTGTCTCACCAGCTGTCTGACTCATGTGCACCTGCACTTTCCTCTTTAAGTCTGAACATTATCATACCACAAGCCACTTTCCACCTCAAGTGTAAAGGCTCCAGCCACATGCCCTGCTTCCTGTCATCTCATAGCTAAAAGTCATGGCTTGAGTTAGACAATAAAATCTGTGGCTTTAGGCATCTTTAGTAAAAAAGCTAACAAACCCCAAATTTGTTCCCATTTTCTTGAGAAATAAACTTCATAAACAACAAAAGATAGCTGTCATGATTACTGAGTTTTGGCTGTAGTTGAAATAATTTCTCTGTAAATATACTAAATAAACATACAAATATCCTTAACAAATACTGTCAGACCAACTTGAATGTTTTTATAACCCGCTCCCGAAAAAAGTCCTGATAATTTTTAGATGAAAATGACCACTACCAACTGATCATGCCTGGTTACTGGGAATTTCTTGGTCAGGTATGTTTCTGAAGCTGCTATATAGCTGGACTTGGCTACTTTGCATTAACTCACACAATAAATGCCTTTTATAAGGAAACAGCAGATCTATCATGATGAAATCAAAATCAAAACAGTTCAGAGGTATACAGGAGACTTGTCTTAAATACTTTTAAATTACATATGATATAACCTTAGAGAATAAGAACTACCATTACCATGGTCTAAATCTTAAACTGTTAATGCATGAATTATCTGTAAGACAAGTTACTTGTTAATTATGGCAAGGCCTTGCAGGGGAGGGGGGCAGTCTGAACGTATGGCATAGCAATTATTTTCCGGGTAAGTAAACACTTGTGTTATTAAACTATATTTGAAAAGTTATTTTATGTAATATATACAACATACAAAATAAGTTAAAAGGAGGAAGCAGAGGAAGGTTTTCTGGTACATATGATGCAAACATACAACTGTCCCTCTTCAGTAGTGGTTCCATGTATGTCCATTTTACCAGGGTAAAACATGAAAGGGTGATAGGAAATCACAAATTTCACTTATAAATAGAAACAGGATTCAAAAACTGGAATTTCAACGTCATTTCTTCCGACATTGCAACTCACTCTAATGATAATAAACATAAATAAAAACCCATCTCAAAAATCTGTTTTTACACCCTTACCTTAAAGTTTAACATAAATTCTTCTAACAATTGAAAAGAAAAGCACTCTGTAGCAATTCCATAAAATAATTTTCAATTCACAAAACAGCTGTCTACTAATAAAACCAGCAACACTTGCGGGGGGCGTAGGCATTAACACTTGGCCCCTCTGAGGTATAAATGCAGCTGTATTTGCACTGAGTATATAGTTTATAACGTATGCCAACTGTCTGCATGTTTGTATAACATTGGGAGTGACGTCATCCTGACTGACTGAAAACTTATTTTTATAATTTTTTGTAATAATGGAGGCTAAATCATTTTAAGAGAAAAGATGTACTTGCCCAATGATACAGCCGGTGGAATTCTGAACTCCTAATCAATGCAAATGATTACATTAAAAAAGTGTTTAACGTTGCATATTGATTCCAAAACAATAAACTGAACAGGAAAACTACATAAATATTTAAAGTCAGCAGGACACTACAAAAAGCATACTATAGATAAGTGTGAAATCAGTCAAGCTTTTCCAAAAGAGAAAATCCTTTTAATCCTTCAGCAAGTCTCTGTGAAAACAGTATGCTTACAATAAAAGTGAGAAGGGAGCACCTAAAATACCCCCAAGAGGCTTGCTATATCATTCAGCATTAACTGCCTCATCTCCTGTGTGCATGAATGGCCAACAAATGACAGGAAGTCCATTTGACAATAGTTCAGTAATTCCTTTTCACCACTGCTGCCAACTGAAATCATCATTGCTTCCAAAGACCAAGAAAAAGCCTAGTATAGTTGCAAAGATGACTGTGTTTCCTGTGAGAACAAGTGCACAAGCTCCCCACTCAATCTATGGAAATAAGAAACAAACACTCAGTTAACAGGCATGAATAACAAAAAGAAAGAGAAAAAAAAACAAGGCTCTAGTTGTACGCTGATCATGCTCTAAAATAAATATGGCTTGTAACAATAATTGTCACAGTGCTGAACACATACTTAATGGTACTTCTATACTACTGTTTTTATTTACCTTTGGTTCCTTTAAAAAGAAAGTCATGAAATGACTATTCAAAAACAAGCTTGACTTCTGGGCGATGATGAAGGAGCATTAAATTCTACAATTTTCTGTTTATAAAGGGATGTGCTTACTCTTCCTTAATCTAAAAATCTATCCAGAGTAGATTAAATTTTAGAGTATCACAGATGGAAACAAATCCGTGTACATTCTTTTGAAGGGTTGGGAGAACAATTGCCTTCTCCATGTGGCTGTCTTCTCTGCCTTCTCTACCTCCCCAGGGGTGAAGGTGCAAGTCTGAACCAGTGAGTTTGGGAGAAGAACTGAGTACCTGTAGCCAGCCCCCTCCCCTCTTCAGTGCTTTTCCACCTGCAGAGCACGTACATCTTCTCAGGTCTTCCACATTTGAAGTTTTACAGGATAGGCCTGGGTTGTTCAGAACTGGGGGGGCTGATATGCTCAACTCTGACAGTTAAGTATTAGCAAGCTAATGGCTGTTGCGGATCGAAACTACCATCTCCAATATTGTTTTTATTAGTTAACAAGAACAAACAATAAAGTGTGATTTTAATCTCTATCTTCTAGGTCCTTAGGTCTTTCATCTCTTTTCATGTCATTAACAAAAATTTTGCTTGAGAAAAATTTAACCCATGTTCAATATAAAATCATGAATAGAAGAATATATTCACTTACCAGATGTGCTCTGGCAAATACAATAGGGAGTCCAAATGCTGACACAACAATGCCTGTTGTAAGAAAGATGGCAAGTTCCTTACAAGCGTTACTCATAGCATCTGTATCATCCACTAATCTTCTTGCTATGCAGTATGGAATAGGTGAGAGGATATAAAAAAATAGAACAAAGAGGGGCCAGTATTTGCTAGAAAAAGAAAAATAAGTTAATGTAATTTTTGCCATGTCATTTTCCTACATACAAAATATGCTTTTTAAAAAAATCAAGATTTAATCCCTTGACTTCTAATGGCTGATACTCAACTTTAACATAAAGCTGAAACAACCCTAAACTTTCCTTACATCACAAGAACTCCCAAATTACAGAAATCAAAATACAGAAAAGTAGCTAAAAGTAATTTGGAACACTTTCAGTCAGAATATAGAATTTATCACAATAAAAATAGATGGCTTTTACTCTACCATCTAGTTTACTGGATTGTACCAGTCATCTCCTGGTTTTAATAACTACTGTAAGATCTTATGACTGTGGCAAGCTGCGTGGAGGGCACAGGGGACCTTTGTGTATGATTTTTTGCAACTTCTTAAGAATCTAAAATTGTTTCAAAATAAAAAAGTTAAAGGCCAGGTGTGGTGGCTCACGCCTGTAATCCCACCACTTTGGGAGGCCGAGGTGGGCGGATCATGAGGTCAAGAGATCGAGACCATCCTGGCCAACATGGTGAAACTCCGTCTCTACTGAAAATACAAAAATTAGCTGGGCGTGGTGGTGTGCGCCTATAGTCCCAGCTACTCGGGAGGCTGAGGCAGGAGAATTGCTTGACCCTGGGAGGCGGAGGTTGCAGCGAGCCGAGATTGCGCCACTGCACTCCAGCCTGGCCACCCCAGCCTGGTGCCTGGCGACAGAGCGAAACTGTCTCAAAAANAAAAAAAAAAAAAAAAAAAAAAAAAAAAAAAAAAAAAAAAAAAAAAAAAAAGTTAAAAAGAAATAGCTGCCCTTAAAACTACCAAAGAATAAAATACGTATCATGGTGGAGATCTGATTATACAGAGGCTAATGATAAGTAACTATTTATATGTTTTCTAAATTTGTTTGTCTTTTATTATTACTTTTTTTTGAGACAGAGTGTCTGGTTCTACTGCCCAGGCTGGAGTCCAGTGGCTCGATCTTGGGTCACTGCAACTTCCGCCTCTTGGGTTCAAGTGATTCTCCCACCTTAGTCCCCACGACTAGCTGGGATTAGAGGCATATGCCACCATGCCCAGCTAATTTTTGTATTTTTAGTGGAGACGGGGTTTCACCATGCTGGCCAGGCTGGTCTCGAACTCCTGACCTCAAGTGATACACCCGCTTCAGCCTCCCAAAGTGCTAGGATTACAGGCGTGAGCCACCGTGCCTGGCCATTTCCTAAATACTTTAAGAAGAAGAAATTAAAAATGGAACATATGCTTAAGAAAAATAATTCAAGCAGTACAAAAGCACAAAAAGTAAAGACTAAAAGCTCCCCAAATCTCCCCTTGCCCACTCTCCTACTGAGCTTCTCATGGATTCTTCCACATTTCCACATAAACTTTAAAATATGAATGGGTCCCTATAGTTTTATGATAATGTATCTTGAACATATTTACATGCCAGCACTTACAGCTCTTCCTCATTCTTTTTAAGACTGCCTAGTATTTCCATTGATAGATTTACTATAATTTAACCATTTTTCTTTTGAAGGACATTTAGGATGTTTCCAAAAATTTTTTTTTTTTGGCTCTTACAAGTAAGGCCCAAAAGAACAAAACAAAAACAAAAAATAAACAAGGCTGCCTGAACATCCATACTCTCCCTAAATGTTTCTTTGTAAATATCTGCAAGTGGGTTTGTATGAGAAAGTCTAAGAAGTGAAAGAGCTACCTCAAAGAATATACATTTTGAGAGCTAAAGCAAACTCATCTCCAAGAAAACTCTCTACATGTACGCCCCTCATAGCACTTAACAGTGCCCGTTTGCCCCGTCTCTTGTCTTTGCCAATGGATTTTGTTTAGTTCTGAGTGAGGCTGAGGATATTTTTATATGCTTATTAGCCATCTGTAGTTCTCTTTTGGTATTTTTTTATTTTTCTATTGCATTGTACATCTTTTTCTAATTTATCTAAATGTTAACTTTGAGAAGTTCTTTCTGTCTTAAGTAATTTTTTTTTTGAGATGGAGTCTTGTTCTGTCACCCAGGCTGAAGTTCAGTGGCACATCCTGGCTCACAGCAACCTCTGCCTCCTGGGTTCAAGTCATTCTCCTGCCTCAGCCTCTCGAGTAGCTGGACTACAGGTGCTGCCACCACACCCGACTAATTTTTGTATTTTTAGTAGAGACAGGGTTTCACCATGTTAGCCAAGCTGGTCTCAAACTCCTGACCTCAGGCAATCCTCCTGCCTCAGCCTCCCCAAGTGCTGGGATTACAGGCATGAGCCACTGCGCCCAGCCGGAAAGTAACCGTTTGTATCTCCTTTTTTTAGTCAATTGTGTTTTGACTTTGCTTACGGTACTTTTTTTTGCAAAAAGACATTTAAAATTTTCATGCAATTAGTATTATCAATAGGTGTTAAAACCTGAGCAGGAGGACTGAGCTGCTGTGTAGCTATCTTGCCACTGCAGACTCAGCAGCAAGTGACAGAGCAGGTAACAGCCAAAAATCTTATTAGCATATTGGTGCCCTAAAATCTTTACAAACAAATTTTAAGTGGTAATTTTTACAAAGGTATGTGTTTGGTAAATGAACATTTTTCTGCATTACTTTTACAGTAGTAAAAAACCATTCTTTAAGCTTTAAAAGTAGAAAAACTTTACTTGTAAACATTCAGAAAGACAAACATTTTACTTACTTGTATATTGGAAGGGCACATCCAAGCATCAAAAACATCAGCCCGATTGCTCCTCCAAAGGACAAACTAATCAAAGCTGCAAAGCAAATAAAAAGTCCAATAGGAATAATTTAATTAAATAAATATTACTTTAATTAATATTAGCAGTCTGAACATTATCTGTAGCCTCAGAAGCAAAAATCCCTCAAACATATTAGTAGTGAGTTGACATCAAAAGTGTAAGTTATCTAGTCTTAGAATAAGTCTTCTGTGGCATCTTCAAGGCAAAATCAAGTGATGTTGATTTTTAAAGCTCTAACCTACTGCTAGTACCCCACCACATTCCCCAATTGTTGGTTCCATTTCTAAAGAGCCACAGTCCACAGGATCAATGCTCTTCTGGGCACTAGTATTAGTATTATATTTACTTCACAGATCACTGCAGTTTTGAAAACAGTATGTGGACAAAGCCCACATTTTCAAGTTTACTGGATTTTGGAAGCTTCATCCTATAGGAAAACCTCTTCTGATCACCTCCTGTTTCTTGTACATACACTCTCAATGTGCATAAAACTGAACAGAAAAATGCTCAAGGATATCTGTAGTTAATGATTTTAATCAATTAATTTTGTTTGAATAGTTTGCAAAAGTATAGCTGCATTTCCTTCCCTAATCTATACATTAGAAAATCTGTAGGATAATGGGTTATAATCCTTCTGAGGTATCACTATTTTAAGGCATTAAGTAATAGATGCATTCTACAGGTGAAATATAGTTTCTAAAGCTACACACACACACACACACACACACACACAGCAGTACATTTTAAGGTGCTCTCAACATGTTAGTGAATAGAAACAACTTTCATGAATAGGCATAATCAATGACCTAGACTAAAGCAAAGAAATACATGATAAATTTATTTTCAGTTCTATGTAACCTGTATTTCTACAGTTACAGTGGCTAAGAAAATAAAGAACTTTGATGTTCTTAGATCATTTTCTTAAAATTCAAAAGTTAAAATTCAAAAGATTTGTAGAAGGTCTGAAAGTTACCAGGACAAAGGCGAACCTAGAGAAACCAAAATGAACAGGAAACAAGTTAAACTTTGCCAAGTACTACTGATATACTTTGCAGAACTAAAATGGCTGTAATCAAGGACACCCAATGACATAGTGGCTTGGCAGATTTGGTTTTCAGTTAGATTGCTGATGCAGGTCATGTCAACCCTGAACACATTCACTTAGTCTTGATTACCATTCTATTTCCAGCTACAGGAAAAGAATTGCATTTTTACTTTACAGCAAATGAGGCACTTCAAGTTTACAGGGAAACGCAATACAAACTGTGAGGAAAATACTTAATTTACCATTTGTTTTCTTCAGTTCCAAATTGGTTCTCATGACCGGGCCCTGCCCACCTCTCCTGTGACGTGTCATACCAAGCTACAACAGTGCCCCTGAACCCTGCACTTCAGTTACACTGGCCCTCTTTCATTTCCTGGAAATCAGCAGGCTTGCTCACCCACATGGCCTGTGCACACTTTGTTCCTTCTGCCTTGGACATGTTTTCATTCATTTAAGACACATGCACTGAGCACTAAATATGTGACAAGCACTGGGGATACGACAGTGAATGAGGCATGGCCCCTTCCCACTCCTTTCCATTTTCCTCCAACTTAAACTCCTGCTTTTCCTTTAGATCTCAGTTCAACCAGTGAAGTTTTTCCAAACCTCCCGACTACACCAATTTCCCGTTATATTTATTTATTCCTTCCTCTAACAAATATCTATGGAGCATGTAATGTGTGTTAGAAACTGTTCTTGATACTGGAGACAGAGCAATGACGACAAAGCTCTTGCTCTCATGGAATTCTAGTGGGAGAAGAAAATGATTTTTAACAACTAGGTAGAGCAAGGGATGGGAGTGCTAGTCTAGACACAGCAGCCAGGAAAGGCATCTCTGTACCCCCCGAGCAGAGATCTGTATGAGGCGAGGGAGGAAATCGTGTGGATATCTGGGTTGAGCATTCTAGGCAGAGACCTGTGCATGTTAAGAGGGCCTCTGTTCACTGAGTGACACTCCTTTGCTTGATTATCAGCTATGATTTCCTACTGGTTTGTATTTTGTCTTTCCTTCTCAACTGTCCATCTCATGAGAGGAGGGAACTAGTTTTTCTGTTGTGATGATCATGCCCTGGCTCTTAACAGTCAATAGATATTTGGAGAATGAATGTAGCAGAGAGGAAATAGCATGGAACTGAGTCAGGAGGGTCCTAGGCCCTAATAGCTACTAACTAATTGTTCCAGTAATTCATGAGTCTCAGTTCTTTCTTCTCTAAAATGATGGACTAGATATTAAATGCAGATAATTTTCTGAACATTAAAAGTACTGTGAAGACAGCGAAGTCCATTACTATAAATATCACCTGGTAACACCTCATTCATTCAGAAGCCACTTATACGCAACTTAGAATCCTAGAGAAAACAAAGGCCACTAAAGAGACAAAATAGATGTTACAAAACCCATACAATAAAGCCAACATTCTCTATAAACAGACTCTTATTTATTTATATTAATTCATTTTTGTGACACAATTGTTAGATGGGAATTCAGAGTAAAACACATTTTTATTTTATAATATTTGTTTTTTTTTTTTTTTTTTTGGAGAGAGAGTTTCACTCTGTTGCCCAGGCTGGAATGCAGTGGCACTTCTTGGCTCACTGCAACCTCTGTTCCCGGGTTCAAGTGATTATCCTGCCTCAGCCTCCCGAGTAACTAGGACTACAGATGCGCGCCACCATGCCGGGTTAAGTTTTGTATTTTTAGTAGAGTCAGGGTTTCACCATATTGGCCAGGCGGGTCTCAAACACCTAACCTGGTGATTCGCTTGACTCAGCCTCCCAAAGTGCTGGATTACACATGTGAGCCACTGCGCCCGGCCAACATATTTTTATTTTAAAAAATTAACTATGCTCATTTATATATATTTTTCAATAGGTAATTCATATACCCAGAACAAAAATTAAGTGAAAAAGGAACTCTCCCCTTCCCAAAAGTGATCACCATTACTTGTATATCTTGTGACACAAAATTTCTAAGTTTGATTATCTTGCTTCTCCCACTGAAACAAATGGAACTAGGAGAAAGGGTTGATACAAGGAAGAATTGCCCTTTGACAGGAGGGAGGATACAAACAAAAAATTTAACCAGGCAGAACAATCTTTGTGGTCATCTCAGCAGGAGGAAAGCCACCTTAGGATCATGATGGCCTCTGAAGGTGGCTGTTCTGTGACAGAGAACAGTCATTCATGTTCTCACCAAAAAAGAAAATCTAAATTCTTTGACTATACTCTTATAAAGTTAATGCAAAATTATTTCAAAAAAAAAAAAAAAAAAATCCAGGGACTAAAATGAGATAAGGCTCAGGTATCAAAAAACAATTTTAAAAACATAAACCAAGATTGTTTATCATATTTATATGAATATAAGTATTGGAATAACATTATTAATATATTGATTTATACCTTAGAGTCTAATTCCTTTTCAACGCTGTTGTATAATGAAAAAGTAAGGTCCTTGGAATTGGTTGGGGGAATCAAGATACTTTGAGATATCTTTCATTCCACTGAATGAGATATACTTTCATTCCATTAAATACTAAATTTTTAAAAAATGTTCAAAACACAGTTTGACGTGACATCTTATCTCCCAGTCATACCGAATAAGGTAGCCAATTAGAGTTAAATAAATTGCTTAAAAATGTTCTCAAAACTTGTAGTTTATTCAGTCTTGTGAAATTGGCAACTAGGCAGATTTATATACAAATTTCATCACTTGTATATAAACTGTTTCTTAAATGACACATCAACAAGGCAAGCATTCATACAGTAATTGGGTGATGCAACATTTGGAAGACAAAGCTTAGATAAGTCTGGTTTCTACTCCCAAAGCCTCTAGGCTAGGGATGGAACAGTCCAATTATCTAGAAAAACTCTCTAGAGACAAGATGCTGATTCTGTGATTACAAAGAAATTAGAGCAGAAGGAGGGACCACTTCCCTAACCTGGGGAAGTGATGTATGACTTTTAGATACATTGGTATCTAAATGGCTCAAGAAATGCCTAATGGTCTCTAATTATAGCAACACGCCTTTCTAATATAAAGATGATATTTGGCCAAGAGAAAGAAACATACTGACTCATAACAACCAGAAAAGCCTGCTGAAATCAAAAGTGCAACTCACCTGAGGCTCCTTCATCTGTTTAATGCAGTATTTCCCTAGATCTGGAAAAGTAAACTACAAAGCTATTTTCTTAAGAGACTCCCGCATTAATGACACTAAAGAAATGGGGAAGAACACGGAAACGGGCAACAGCCTAAAAACCACAGCATTTCACAATAACTGCTTTTCACATATGGATTTTTAAAAGAGTCTATTATAGTTCAAAAGGAGATTACAAAGTAACCCAGTTGCTCAAATGACAAGGTTTTATGTGGGAAATGAAATGTTTTCAGACTCTGAAAATAAACAAGAAACAGTAAGACTGTGACCCTGAGAAAAAAACTCGATTAAGTTTTCCTTAGAGAAGAAAAAATACACAGAAAACCACTGCTCCCAAAATAGTTCCTGTTTCCTGCCTGACTGCCCTTCTACAAAGCGGTAGGTCAAGAAATCAATGTAATTAGTTAAGCAGCAGTTTGAAAACTTTGCTTCTAATCACAATGACAACAATACTACCAAACAGTTGGAATATAACATTCCTTTTTTTAAAAAAGAAAATACATTAAAAAACCCAGTAGTTTTTCATTAAGTTGTAACACTATTCTATCTTCTAAAAAATAATAAGAAAAGAAAAAGAAAAACTTTAAATTTGAAAAAGCCTCAGCATGCAACTGCGAAGAGGAAGAGAGCCAGGAGCACTTTGGGGTCGCCTACAGTATCCACTTTAGGGTCCAGACACCGCAGATGAAAATGCACCCGTTTCCGGAGTCTGTAAAGCTTCGGGCGCGGACGGCCGGGGTGGACGCGGGGCTCAAGGTTTCGGGAAGACCCGTGCAGCGCCCGCAGATCGCACTTGTGCCTTTCGGTGGGAAATGACTTGTTTTCCATAGCTGGCTTCTCCAGCAGCCTCGGCATCCTCAATCCCACGCTCTACCCGCCTCTCTCTCGGATGCAAACTCCTGCAAAACGTGTGTGGTCGCCCAAGTCGCGACGGGACTCCTCACTGACCGCGAACCACTACATATTTTGTCCGCGGGGCGATGGGTGGGAGAGAGGGTGCCGAAACCGGCAGAAAGTGGGGGCTGCCGGGCGAAGCCACGGTCGCAGCAGTCCCTTGCCGGAGGGCGCCGCGCCCACCCCTGGGTCGAGGGCAGGGCCGGGGCGGGGGTCGCTTTCCCGGCACAGGGACCCCACGCGCGCGCCCGCCCGGGCCTGGAGGGGAAATGCGGGGGCCGCATGGGACACCCCCTGCCCATCTTCCCTGGCGGGCCCCAGTCCTCCCGCGCCCGGCGCCCCAGGCCCACCTTTGATGCCTGCCATGGCGCTGACGTAGCTCCTGGCTCCACGACCCGAGGCGGCGGCGGCGGCCGGGAGACCCAAGACGCGATACGGCGGCCAGACAACACCCGGAAGTGCGCGACGCAACACTTCCGCCGGCGGCTCGCGCTCGCGCGGGGGCGCGGGGGACTAGCGGCGCTGGGCTGTGGAAGCGACCCCTGCCTCCCTTCTCCGCAGGTTTGCAGATCGCCGCCGGCCGAGGCTTGCTGCCCCCGCCCCGACTGGGGGAATGAGCCGGCGTCAGGTCCTGAATTCCCGTCAGGGCCGGTCGGGGGGCTCCCTGCTGAAGCCCGCGTCCCTGATCCCGCAACCTCCCGCGTGCTTTGGGAAGGGAGTGCGGGTGGCGGCTGTCCTTTGGAAACACGTGTGATGGCTTTTGGCTTAATTTCACATTCTTTGTTTTGTTTGTTTTTTGAGACAGGGTCTCTGTCACCGGGGCTGGAGTGTGATCACGGCTACTGTAGCCTTGATCTCAGAGGCTCGAGTGATTCTCTCACATCAGCCTCCCGAGTAGCTGGGAGCACAGACATGAGCCACCATCCCTGGCTAATTGTTTTGTTTTGTTTTGTAGAGACGGGCAGGGGGTGAGACTGTCACCATGTTGCCCAAGCTGATCTCTTGAGCTCAAGGATCTGCCCTCCTCGGCCTCCCAAAGCAGTGGGACTGCAGGTGTGAGCCACTGCGCTGGGCACACATTATTTTACCGCGCCTTTTCCTCTCTTCCTCCATTCCTCTGCTACCAGCCGGTAATAAGGGTTTGGGTTCCTACACAGGACTAGGGTTCTGATGAGGACCCACCTCCAGAGATGGGAGCAGCAGGGCTCAGTAAAGAGTGGATTTAATAGAAATCCAATCCTTTGGATGACTGTCATTTTGATAGTAACAAGGCTAGGGAAAAAAAAAAAAAAAAAGTGAAAGCCCAGGTCCAATACATTTATTTGCACATGCTACAGTTAGTTATGTATGTAACATTTACTATCTGTTTACTATGTGTTGGGAACAGGGTTAGACACTGAGATACGCAAAACCAGGTACTGTTTGCAGACTGGTGAGGGAGACAGACACACAAAAAATGTAAAATTGCAAGAATGATGATTGCTAGTAAAGGGGATCAGAATATGCTGCTCTAAAATATGCCACTTTGAAGCTGGGTGTGGTGGCTCATGCATGTGATCCCAGGACATGGGGAGGCTAAGGCAGGAGGATCCCTTGGGCCCAGGAGTTCAAGACCAGCCCTGGCAACACAGTGAGACCCTGTCTCTACAAAAACGAAAAAAAATTAGCCAGGCTTGGTGGTGTGCGCCTGTAATACTAGCTACTTGGAAGCCTGAAGCAGGAAGATAGCTTGAGCCTAGGAGGTCGAGGCTGTAGTGAGCTCTGATTGTGCCACTGCCTGGGCAACAAAGCAAGACTCTAACTCTAAATAAATACATAAAAATACATAAATAAATAGGCCTAAGGGTTGTTTTGAGCTGAAAGCAAATGAGCAGCAGCAGGCATAGGAGGAGCTCTCTGCTCTCCCCTTTTCTACCCTAAAGCTGTGCTTAAGTTCCCTTTGTAAAGGTAACATAAATTTCCACTTCTAAAAAAAAAAGTGTGTGTGTGTGTGTGTGTGTGTGTGTGTGAGTGTGAACAGAGTCTCGCCCTGTCACCCAGGCTAGTGTGATCTCAGCTCACTGCAACCTCCACCTCCTGGTTCAAGCGATTTTCCTGCCTCAGCCTCCCAAGTAGCTGGGATTACAGGTATAAGCCACAATGCCTAGCTAATTTTTGTATTTTTAGTAGAGACAGTGTTTCACCATGTTGGCCAGGCTGGTCTCGAACTCCTGACCTCAAGTGATCTACCCATCTGGGCCTCCCAGAGTGCTGAAATTATAGCCATGAGCCACTGTGCCTGGTCCCCAAAAATGTGTAAACAAATTTTTTTACTTATAAATATTTCCATTTCCCAGACTAGGGAGAGGAGGCAACTCTTATGCCCCAGTAAACAGCATTGATTAGAGTCTGCCTAAACATTACTAACGTAACACTTACCTTTCGTTTCCCCGCATATATTTACTTTCTGACAACCTACTGCCCCTAGACATCCAAACCCCTTTACTTTGTCTACTTTTCCACAGTACATCACCCTTTTTTAAAATAATACATGCTCCCCAGCCTAATTACTTCTTGAGTTTCACTTCTTTCTTGTGAAGCCTCCTTGTGCATGCAAAATAAACCTTTTTTTTCCTGGTAATCTGTACTTTCTTAGTTTAATCACAGTCCTCAGCTTCTCAACCTAAGAGGGTAGGAGAAGTTTTTATCCTTTCCTACACTATTAAAGATACGTAGAAAGTCCTGTGAAAACTTTTGATTACCATCTGCCAGGGAAAATTTTTCCCAAGGAGAGACAACAGAGGGATGAATAAATGTGTTACTAGAGAAGGGAAAAGCCATTATAGGTGGCATGGTGTGTGTGTGTGTGCGCGTGCGTTTGTGCATGTGTGTATGTACGCATGCATGTGTTTGTGTATGCATGTGTGTGTGTGTGCATGTGTTTGTGTGTGTACATGTTTGTGTGTGTGTGGTGGGGAGTCAGGAGCTTTGGCAGCAAATGGAGCAAGGAGCTTGGTCCCTTGGAGAGAAGAGAGAAGGCCAATGGGGTTGGTCAAGTTTGGCGTGGGGCAGCGTGCTTATATAGTAGGGCCATACACAAGGAGTTTTGGTTTTCCTCTGACCAATAAAAATCTTTTGAAGTTTTTAAAAGGAAGTAGATGGGGGTGAGCTACATACGATTTGAATTTTTAATTCTTTTTCAGTCACCAGACTAAGATAAAGTGTTGAGTGAATGTTTAGAAGAGATATTTCCAACATGCTTTAAAATGAGAGTGACTGGGAAGCTTGAGGCATTACTCACTCCGCTTCTCTCTACTATTTCTAGGGTTGAATTACAATTTAAACAACAACAACAATAAACAGGTTATTTCTTGAGTCTTAATGCTCCAAATGAGTCTATGGGTGTTTTGTAGGATAGTATAATTTTTTTCTGTTCAAGTTAGTGCAGAAAGATCTACCATCTCTGTCCTGTATAATAAAAAAAGTTTCCACTTAAGGATGTGGTAACAAAATCACAAGGCACACTTGAACATATGCCATGGAAACGCACGCTGTTTACACAGAATCTGTGAACCACCAGCTCCTTTCCCTAAACTACTGAAGCGGTCATATGTGTCCTTCTCCCCAACTATCTTGAATGGATAGGTAGAATTCCTGGAGAAGTGAATAATTCCATCCCACATGTCACCACAGCACCTTTTCTTGTTTTGTTCTGTGGACCCACAATATCTGAGAAAGGTCTCACTCAATTTAGAAAGTTTACTTTGCAGGTTTAAAGGGGCACCCTTGACACGCTTTAGGAAGTCCTGATGACGTGTCCAAAGTGGTCGGGGCACAGCTTGGTGTTATATATTTTAGGAAAACATGAGACATCAATAACTATATGTAAGGTGTACGTTGGTTGGGTCTGCAAAGGTAGGACAACTCAGAGTGAGGAGGGGGCGTCCAGGTCACAGGTAGATAAAAGACCAATGGTTACATTATTTTTAGTTTTTCTTTTTTCTTTTTACACGGAGACTCACTCTGTCACCCAGGCTGCAGGCTGGAGTGCAATGGCACGATCTCGACTCATGGCAACCTCTACCTCTTGGACTCAAGCAGTTATCCTGCCTTAGCTTTCCGAATAGCTGAGA